CGATGCACAGGAGAAGCTTCCTCGCAGAGACCTGGACGCACACCCACGCGAAGAGCAGCTTTTCGCGAAGTCGATGGCAAGTTTGATACCTGTTGTGCTTCGGAAAGCCGCACTTAGAATCCCTGGGCAGAGTTGGGGCAGCACATTGACCGCACGAAATCCTCCAGCGTTCTCACCTTTGAGCAACGAGAAGGGGTGGCAACACCGCTTCTAGTCAGTTATCCTCTCAATATCAGATAAAAAGATTCCAACTGCTCGTTTACTCTAAAAAGTTCCCAACTACATTTTATTCCGCTTTTAAATATTTCTCTATCGCGTCAACGTATCAAACAGGACATTTGCTATGTTGAAAATGAACCTCGCTGACCGAAACACAGAAAACTTCGCTTCATGGTTTCGCGGTGCACCGAGACCGTAAACGACGCGACGCGTCGATTCTTACATCTCGCGCGACCCTTCGCCTTTCAGTCGACAGGGAAGGCGATATATCAGGAGTCAGCAATTTCGTTTTACATATTTTTCCACGAACGAGGCGCGACGGTGTCGTTACACCTTCGGGTCTCGTCAGCGTCGTCATTTTCGCCAGATGCAGCGGGGCATTGCAGCGCCGGAGAGTGCACTCGTTAAAAACTTTTCGCTGCATTCATTCGAATGCACTTCGTCAAAGTGCGATACGAGGGTCAGACGAGGGAACTCCGGCGGAAAGATGGGAGACTTCCGTGTCGCTCGACGCCGGTACGACTACCCAAGTTATCGCTGCGTCGTCATTATCCTTCCTGTTCGCGTTTCCAACCATTTTTTTTCAAGACAGTCGACGCGACGAATTTTTACGCGAAACGCGGGAGAAAAAAAAACGGACAGAGACTCGACGCGCGCCAAAGTGCACTTCAATTTCGCACGCGAATCGCATAGAGACTCCCCTTTCGCGTTTCGCTCCGCATCTGCGACCGACACGTAAACAACAACCGGGTACAATGGCCACAGGAAATCCGTTAAGCGAAAACAACCATTGATCTCGTTTCTTCCTCTCGGTATCAAAAAGATTCGCGATTAATTAACGGGTACCCTTTGATGTTTTAAACGGTACTTCCAGCGACGCTCGATAGCGAGACTCGTCTTTCATCGGCTGTTCCAGAAGGTTACGGGGTGAAAGAACGCGTGGAATCTACAGCTATCGGGACAACGCAAATGCGCATTGCGTTAATTGGTGGAGATACTGGGTTACACGAGTGTTGGGGGGGGGGGGGGTTAGATATCTGATTTCAGGAGGAACTCGAGGGTTTTTGCGAATGGGGTAGTGGTTACAGGTGTATCATGACACTGATGATTAACCGAGTTGTCGGCTGGTACCTTACTGAAAGGGAGATGTTAAAGGTGCACGACTTCGTCAGGGATCGCTGACTTGGATTATCTCTTACTTCGCAGAAGACATGTCTTTAAATTGCGTCTATACTTCATCCGACACGGAAGTGTTCTGGAATGATATTGCAGGGGTTCCAAGGTTGGCCTTTAGAGCAATAACGAAGACAGTAAGAAAAAGAAGGTCAACGATTGTTAATTTAACGGCTTGACGAAACCACGAAACATATGATCTTTTAGTGATTGATTAAAATTATAAAGTGTAAAGCGCAGGGGGGAACGAACGGGGTGAATAAGAAAAAATTCTAGAGTGTCGCGGCCACAAAGGCGGTAGAAGTGGCAAGAGTCACTCGGTTCAGCAGAGAGAAAGCTACTGGCAGAGCGTGCTCCCTTACGTCAGCTTGAACGCAGTCTTTTTTCCATCATGCTAGCATCAGAGGTGCATCGAGAGAATGCACCGGTTGCACGATGCAGCTGCGCGCGACACATGGGAGCTGTTAGGACCGAACTTTGCTCAATCTCCCTGATAGCATTATACGAATCAGAGGGTATTTGTGCGTTATTTCAATCTCACGTGGTAAATTCCGATCGGATATTCTACTGGTATTTAAAAAATCTGTAGGTGAAGTCATTCATTGTTGAAGTAGAGTACTAATTCATTCGCGAGTGTATAGATCCACAGATGTTATTTCTGGTTTGAAATATAAAACAAAATCTATGCAATAGAGACTTTATCGCAACTACGAGAAGAAATCATTCGAAAATACAAATACATTTTCCTTCATAAAAATAAAATACTGCGTGCCTCTAACTTACTCGATCAGCGCCCTATTCGTTCGAGTATTCGAATCGTACTCGTCGAATATTTGATTCGCTCGCACGTCGATACCCCATGTTCCATCTCACGGTGTATGCTGATCGAGTTACGATGGCGCCGTATATCGATTACCTGCCGCTCACGGTGTTATCGAGACACGCTTAATTAACGGCGAACAAACTGCAGGATGGATTATAAGCGGTGCAGGGTTAATCGCGACGCGGCGAGGAAAAGGGAAGCGACGAAAAATGGTCCCTCCCAAACCTACAAAAACCACTGTTTCTTTGGTCTCCTTTCCGATGCCTTCCATCGAGAAAGCCATTCTTCCGTGGCCGACGATTTTGTTCCCGTTTGAGATGAATACTTTGAGATCCTTTACGGTAGTGGAAAGAAGTCTTCCGGACACCGTAAAATCGGCATTTCTCCGTGCTGGTGTACCAACAGTCGCGTTTTTTACGATCATTCTTTTATGGGCTCTCGATGAATCCAGCGTCGAGGTTACCCTTTGTCGACCGTCGTTTTTCGGTTCGCGATTCTGAAGGGGAAGGAATGCAACAATTAACTCGTTCCTAGTACAATGTATAATGGTAACGAACATAAGTTTTCCACCGACTTGGATTAAAAGATTCTACTCTCCCTAAGTAATCAGTCGTTAATGTAAAATACTTTGTTTGTAAGGGTCTCTACCGACCTCGAGTCACTCGATAGATACGTTTAATTATCAGTACTATTTCTTATTTCTGTAATTCTTGATGCAACAATCGGTTTCATTTGCCGAATATATTTCCTTCTGGGAGAAGGTCGAACCGACTTTTGGAACCTGAGTGTCTACAATCTAAAACCGGCGGAGCAAGAAAATACCGCTATTAGATGATCCTATTACCAGCGATAAAAATCTTTCGCGAGGACGCTGTATTTTAGCTGAAAAGAAATCCTCCGTCGACGAGTCGTTCGCGGTAAGTCCTAACAGCGCTCTAAAATGGCATTGTGGCGCGTCGGTACGGAACTAATGAACTCACGACGGGGCTTTCACGGACAGAGTTATTACAGCTCCCCTCCCTGGCTATAGAGTTCCTCTCGTCTTTGCCTCCGTGGTCGTCTTCTGGTCCGTTCCTCGGAGTACTTCTCGCCGCCTCTTCCTTCCTTAAGACGTACACCGCCAGAGCCTCTTCGTCACCGACCCGGACACCGTGGCTGACCGGTATTATGGCAGATCTATCCCTCCTCCGTTTAAATAAGCCTGGACCTAGTTTTACGATCCCTTCTTCTGGCTGTTACTCTTCTTAGCAGCTCTTTTTATCTCATTCCACCAGCCGTGCTTTACGGTTGTGCGTTTTTACGACTGTGCGAGCATGTTGGCGAGTCGCAATTGTTGCCGATCGTCGACGAGTGACGACGTATCGGATCCTACAAAGGTCGAAATATGTCGAGGTCTGCGTTTCTTGTTGCCACGAGTTCCAAGCATATTATTCCTCAATTACTTTTGCATAAGTTGAATAATTAGCTAAATAAAACTCGTAGGTTTTGAGTCTTCCTTGGTGTAACATATTTAAGAATCAAAACGAAATTTAGATACAGGCGTTTTACAAAAAAGGTGCGAGTGACGCGGTCTATAATTTCTACGACGACTGAAAATACATAGAGCCATTTCGCAAAAATCTAAGAGCATACAACAGAAAAATATTATTATCTCTTAAATGGTTAAACTGTTCAAATTTGAAATGATTCTCTTTATACCTTTTACTTACCGTCAAATCTCGCGGACGATCGTTCCACCTCGTCGACGCTCCCTCCGCCAGGATTCAAATGAGATTCTTAAGAAACCTCCCCTCGCCACTCCAGCCATTTTCGCGGCCATTAAACCGGGCGTCGCGTCAACGGAGGAGAAGGTCGCGTTCCGGAAGACTGAGGTCGTAGAGCGAGCTCCGAGCGTCGAGGAGAAGGCGACCTCGTCGTGGAAAGTCGCGCGGCCGTGAATCCGCTAATTTGCTTTAGAAAGAAACCGCCTGGCGGCGGATTTTCCACGGGATAAATCCACCTGGTAGAAGGTAGAGGTAGGAGGAGGATAGGGATCGACAAAGGCAGAGTCGAGGCGGCTATCTCTGCCCTCCTTTCAGTCACTCCCGTGAACCGGAGAGCAACACAGCCAAGCCTCTCTCGACGACGTCTCATTGTTCGCCACCCCTGTATACGCCGCTGTCCTTTATCTTAATTCCATTACACTTCGCGACGCGGCCTGCCAACTGCGACCTGGTAATGCATCCCCTTGACTCTGGCCAAACGACAACCCCCGAACCCCTCCTGGCCACCCTCTCTCCGCTCGTCACTGTAATTTCGTGCGAGCTACTTTGACGTGTCCTTGACTCGCGCTTGGAAACCCCGACCCTTACCACCCCGTCGCCAGCCGGGTCCTTATTCAGTCGCGGTAATTCAAAACCCCCTCCTCGGAAGTCCATCGCTAACGGTGACGCGGCGCGCCTACGGTGTTGTTTCTTTGCGGGCTTGGTAGTCGTGACTCTGGTATTTTGTTCGTTTTCCCATTGTTCGACGATCGCCGCGACTAATTAGCCTTTCATGCCCGCGGAGCTTCGCGACGAAATAAAATATCGCGCTCCGGGCGCTCCCCTCTCGAACATCTGGGGCCACTTGCGTTTCAAAGGTGTTCGCGTTCTTGGGGTAAGGCGTAAACTTGTGGGTTGGTTTTGATGGAGGAAGTCTGAAACATTTGAATTTATAATTTTGATGGTTTGTATGTGGATACCTGATATCGATGAAAAACGTATACAGTCTCCTGTTTCTCTAACAAGCCCCGTTTTTGTTCCAGAGAGGTACGACACCGCGTACGCCTGCGAGGGCAAAACATTGCTGATCGAGTGCGGCGAGGGAAAGTTGATCCATCTCATCAGGGCGAACTACGGGAGGTACTCCATAACGATATGCAACGAGCACGGGAACACCGACTGGAGCGTCAACTGCATGTCGCCCAAGTCCTACCGTGTGCTGAACAACGAGTAAGTTTTTCGATCGACATCCTTGCATCCCCCACAGCACACACAAGTGGTCTTTGACAATTGCCCCTCCCATCCTCAACCCTGTGTTTCATGAATCGCGTCGAGAAGTCGAGGTTCCTGTGACTCGAATCCTAGGACAGCGTTGGGCGTAATGCATGATCGATGGATTACGTAAATCACGGATTTGCGATTGTGAATTACAAGTGCAGTTTACACAATTGCTCGCTACAATTAACGCGACAATTGCGAATGACAAATCGCGGATATAATAGGTGTCTGTTGCGGAAGCTTCGCAGGTCTGCGTTAGGCCTGTAAAGTCGCTACAACCGACGCTTATTAAATAGCGAATGACGATTTCAATAACGATCACTGCCCAACACTGATCCTGCGGAACAAGAAAAGATGATAAAAGAGAGGCAAAGCATTTCTGGAATACGGGAGGATGAGAAATCGTAACGCGCGGACATTTTCTATCGTTAATGAGTCGAACCGGCACCAATTAAAGGAGACGTCCGATCCGATCGAGCGTGGATCGCGCTTGTCACTCGGTCCTAAGGTTATCGAGCGATCCGACTTTCCACGTGGATCGGTATCTACCCAGTCGAAGCTTTTACGACCGTTCCATTCGAGATATCCAGCATGACACCTGGAGCCTGCGCTTCGGTCCCTCGCGGTAACGAGAAACGCTTCCTGAACCTTTGGCGCGTGTATATCGATCATAGTCTTTCGATGACCTTGGACGGGGGTCTGATCTGCGCGGTCTATCGCCGCTGATCTCGGTCCGATATATCTCCCCGCAGAAACGATCGAGCGCCGCGATGGCCGCGAGTGAAAAATTATTAACCGTCGAGTATGCGGAAATTCGACTCGCGGATTTCGCAGCGAAGAAATGGCGTGCGGTCGGTAGCCTAACCGCGAAAGCGTTTCCCTCGAATGGATCGTCGGAACATCGCTTCGATTTACTTACTTATATCGTGCGTGTTCAAGAAAAAAATTCCAGACGTTTTTAGAAGCGTAGTGCTTTCATTTCGTACGATTTGATGAAAGATTAGGGGATACTAACTCGAATCGGACGTTTCCTCCAAAACTAGAATAGCGATCCTTAGAGGAGACAAGGAATTTGAACCTCGATATTCTTCCACGCGATCTCCTTGCTCCCTTACCCCTGTCCCTACCACGGAAATGGAGCAAAGAGCACGGAGTCGAGATCGCATGGAAATAAACGATGAGAAAGTGAGGGGACGAGGATGTGTCTGGAGGAGGAAGGAAAATGAGGAAAGAGTGGACGGCTTCATATGGTCCGGCGAACTGGCCAATTGCTTGACCATTGAAGAGCGTATTTCGCGGCGGATCAGAACGATAGGAAGAATCGCAAACTCAGCGATCGCTTCTCTATCCCGGTCCCCGCGAACATCCACTCTATTTCCTTTGGGCTCCGTGTCTTGCGTTCCTCCAAGTCACACGTACACACGCTTCTACGAATACAGATACACACACACACACACACACACACACACACAAAAGCACACACAAGCATGTATGAAACGTTCGCGTTACCATCGCGCGTATCTTCGCGCGCGTCACTCCGATCCCACACCCCCACGAGATCCCTCGTCCCGAGACACCCAATCTGACGAAATGTCCTGTGGATTTCTGATTCTATTTTTTCTTTATTTCGTCCTGTTCTTTCCATCCCCACGTTTGTTTCGTTTGTTTGGTCTTCGTCATCGAACGTATCGCGACTATCGAGGATCAGTGTCTGTCGATACGAGTGCTCGAATCGAGAGGGACTTGGAAACGTAATGGAAACTAGCGGTGTTGAGGAAGTAGGCTTTGGTAGAAATAAATAAATGCTCTTTGTAACGGAGACGAATTTATTTTTTTATCAGTAGGACTGTTATTCGTGTATATCGATGTTTCGTTATTCACTGGTATCGTCACTGCTAGTACATTTTGTGCAAAATTATGAAAGTTAAATGATTTCTACCAATCGTGATCTTTCTATATTTCGATTACAATTTAACAAAATTTTTGAAATTTCTAAAAGTCCATTTAACACCAAGACAGTTTTATTTCCGAACCTCTGCTTGGCTGAAGTTGGAGAAAAGAGAGAGAATATGGAGAGAGGAGAATGACACGGAATTTTCGCGATCGGTCGCGTTTCGTCGTGATTAATAGCCAGCCGACGGAAATTGGTTTCGTTCCGAACGTAGCGACGACGATAAGACGCTCGACGTTGGCGGTGTGAATAATTGGGAAAGATAATCGCGATGACGAGTCGAAATCTGGCCCGTTGGAATGATCGTTCTCGTGGAAACCGAAACGAGAGCACCTCGCTGTCGATGGCGTCGTCGAAATCGGAAAAAAGAACCGCGACAAGTGCCGCTCGATTGCTGGAGGGCGCAACGTAACCGCGAACGTCGTGTTAAAATCAAATTGCTCCTCTTCTACGGTGGCTGAAGCACGCTTTTCTCAGGGAAGAAAAACGTATTTAAAGTTGGAGCACCGTCTAAGGGCCCAGCAGGAGTAATAACTTTCGGGTTAACTTTAAGTGGAGAAGTTCCGCGACGTCGGTGTCGCTTCGCGTCGGGATTCGTACCTGTGTACTGGGAAGCTGGGAGAGATTGCCCTTGGATAGAATTCAGATTCGCTGATCACGATTTTTGGAAGATTGTATTTCACAACATAACGCAAAATAATAAATTGAGTTAGGTTAGATAGTTATATCCTTTTATTTTGCCATCTAAGAAAGAGTAGAATTAGCTTCCAGAGATGGAAAAATAAGAGTACTTTGTTTCACCTTTTTAGGGATAGTACACGTAGCTCTAACGGATTTAATCGTATTCAGGAGCAATCTCAACAGTTTCGTACAGTATATACATTCCAAGGATCAAAGATGGGCAAAAAATCAATTAGATAAAAATAGATAGACTAGTGATATAAATTTGTCTCGATAAATGATCAATCGCATAAAAACGGTATTTTTATTCGCCGATACGTTTTTAAACATTTTTATTACTCAAATAAAACGTAGCCCATCTCTGCCCGGGTTCCAATGGGTTTCGCAAGACGAGCAGGAGGAGTTCGACGCCAATTTAACTCCTTTCGCGGAATCGATCGGAAAGATCTCTGATCGTAATCGCCGTTCTATCCCCTCGACGTACGGGATCGTTGTCTCTCTTCTCTCCGTCTGCGTCGTCTATTCTCCCTTCTGTTCGCGAATCAATCTAAACCGCGACTTTTTCTCCTCTCCGATTCCCGTGAGCCGGGAAATTTCGTGCAACAGAATCGACAGTCACGGTTCGTCGATGTACAGGGCGATTCTAATCACTGGGCCAGATTGCAAATCTATCCTCAATCCTAAAGAGTTATATGGTACCTTTCCCTCCAAGTGCATCAATATAAGGTGCTTTTGTATTAGATAGAACTGTCTTTTCTTTCATCATACATTTAATGTTATGATGAAAAATGAGTACATACAGTCAGTCCCGTAAGTATTCGTACCTTGTATATCTGTTGAAAAAATGTATCTAAATGAAATGATCAGTTTTATGTTTGGCTAAATAAAGAATTTATTCTAAATATGTACGGGAGTGAACTTCACACGTGTGTATATTTATGATGAACAATTTATTTAGGAACAGCAAGCCTACTATTTAATTTAAACACATTTCTTTAATAAGCACATATGATACAAATACTTATGAGATTGAACAATCGAACATTCTCGTTTCTTAAAAAAATGCACTTCAAAAAGAAATGATAACATTAAACCTAGAAATTATTACTGTAGTTAAACCCAGTCATTATAATCACCCTATATGCCAGACGGTATTGAATGTGAGCGCCAGTGAAGACGGTCCTCGATGAAAATATGTGTATCGATGGTTCCAATTTAATTCCCTCACGCTGGATTAGATATTTCTCCCGATCGAGGGTAGAGTTCCATTCTCTCCGTAGTACGTGTTTTAATCATCTTCGCGGATCGGCCATTATCGACGAGTCATCGGTTATCCGGAAAAAAATTATTACCGCGAACGCGCGCGGTAATTCTCCTTTTTTTTTCATTTCGGCCACCTTTGACGCGGCCGCCGTCCTTCATTTGGAGCCGTCCGATCTGGCGCGCGAGTGATTTCCTCTCCCTGAACGGAGAATCAACGGTGCAACGTGTACGTTCCGTCGAAACGCGAGTCAGACGATAATCGGTTTTCAGTTCGGTCTGGCGAGAAATTTCGTTCGCGAGTCGCCTGTCCTGAATTAGTGATGGGACCGATTCAACGACACGCTCGTTAACACGTATTATTTCCCAAGAATTCAGGGTAGCATGTACCTAAACGAGTGACATTCGGTTTTAATGAGACATCTTGTCGATACTTTCTGTGGCATCGATACCATTCAAACATCATTGGGACTTTTGAGACACTAGTAATTAAATATTTAGTAAATAGACCATCCTGAGCTATTTTATTCATATACGATTGTATTATTATATTGCTGTAAATACGGGATGAATCAAACAGCTTTGTGTCTCAAACCTAGCGTTTCTCTGCAACAAATGAAAGTTCATTCGAATAAATGTAGAAATAAATACTTTCAGTCAACATGTGTTCCACTTGTAATATGAATTGCAATCAGTCACCAAATTTGATATACTTGACACGTGTACCGAACCAGAGTCACAGGACTCAAGATGTCTCTAAAACTATGTACAAAAGAATTAATTTCTGTCTACGTCTCAGTCCCATCGCTATTTCAACTACTTCGAGCCGCTTTTATTTAGTTTGATCCCCCGCCTCTCCTCGCAATGATCGATCCTCACTACGTTTAACCTATCCCATTCTCTAACACAAGGGTGTGGTTCGGGTCCAATTTTCCCGGTAAGAATTCACACGCATGCACGAACTCGCTTGGAACACTTAACGCAATATGTATCGGGGACTTCGCTGATGCCTCGCTCTAAAAAGGTCCTTTGTCGAAGGGTCCTTTCCCAGCGAATAGCT